ATGGCATTTTCAGGAACTCAAATAGCCCAAAAGGTGTTGCAGCGGTTTTCTGGATATCATTTTGGTGCATGGGTATTTGGTAGAATGCTTTTACCAAATCGATGGTGGAAAATACGGGTTTTCCATGCAGATTCTGACTGAAGTCTTGTATGTGAGGTATTGGATAGCGATCTGGTTTGGATATGGCGTTGAGCTGTCTGTAGTCGCCGCAGGCTCTCCAGGAACAGTCCTTCTTCTTGACCAGATGTAGCGGGCTCGCCCAAGATGAAGATGACGGTCGGATGATTCCCAGGTCCAACATGTTCTGGAATTCGGCCTTTGCAGAGGTAAGTTTGTCTGGAGCCAATCGTCTAGGTCTGCTGAACACTGGCGGTCCTGTTGTCTCGATGTGGTGGCAAACGTGCGTGGTGTTGGTCGACATAGGGAGAGAGCGGATTAAGTTTGGGTACTTTGCAAGTATTTCATGGTACTTACCGCCTCCTAATGTCATTTTGATGTCGCACGCTTGGACAACTTTGGAGATGCAGGCTGCGGAGATGGTGGTTGTAATGTCAATGAACTTGCCATTTCTAACAAAATGTGACAGGAAATCAGCTCCCAGGATAGGATGTGTGACTTGTGCAATTATAAATGTCCAGGTGAATTTTCGTCTTAATCCGATGTTGAGGCTCAACGTTTTTGTTCCATAAGTCTGGATTTGGGACCCACTGGCGGAATACAGTGTTAGGTTGTTGTTTATTGGCCCAGTAAACTTGCTGTTTTTCTTAGAATTTAGAATGAGTGGGAGGGGGGTTAATCACTTCGACCTTACAGATCCATTGTGTCCCCCTTTCTTGAATCATAACTCATCATACAGTCCCAGGGCTTTGACAAAAGCCAGTATCTGGGACGGTTTTATAGAGGGTAGTTCTCCATCTCCAATATCAGTCGTACCAAAATTCATGGCACGAATGGTTGTCGTCTCGGCGCACTCAGTGATGAGGTGTACTGGTGTTTCCCCATCTTTCCCACAGAATCTGCATTCGCCGTTTCTTCTTAGTTTCAATCTACTGAGGTGTCCATTGAGGAGACAGTGTCCTGTTAAAAACCCCGTGACAATCCGAAGATTGTTCTTACTCAGAAAGATCTGTGATTTTTCTTGATCATAAGCCCTCAGAAACTTCTTCGAGTGTCTTAGACCATTGCAAGATTTCCATTCCAGGTTGCGGGATGGAATCTTCCAAGTTCTTGAGTTCCGCCTTGAGTTGGTTACCACTTGGAAAGCAGACGGTTCTGGTCCAGTTAGTGGAGTGTCTCGCTCCTTTCCTAGCTAGATTATTTGCTTTTTCATTGCCTTCTATCCCTGGTGAGCAGGCACCCAGTGTAGGAGGACTTTGTTTTCTTGCCTAATTTATTCAGCTTCTATGCATTCTTTGACCAATTTCGAATTGATTGATACTGAGTTGATCGCCTTTAACGCTGCTTGACTACAGACAAGATGGCTATTTCTTGTTTCCGATAGTTCCTATCTAAGATAAGTTGTACGCATCTTTCGATAGCGTAGATTTCTGCCTGTAGGATACTAGGGTAAGTGCCCATTGGTTCGGAGTATTTAGCTCTCGGCCCAAATACTCCGATCCCTGTTCCCGTATTGGTCTTGGAAGCATCAGTATACCAAGTTATGGTATGGTCTTTCAACTGCTGGGCAAGCGTTTCGCTCTTCCAATCATTTTTATTGTTCAATACTACATTGAGATTTTCTCAAAGTTGTACGTTCTTGGCATATCGTCCACTGGGAGTTTCAGGAGTGGTATTTCCTTTTTGAGGGTGTTCCAAGCCCCTGATCTGACAATTCTCCCAGTTCTAATTCCGTTAGTGACCATTCTAATCATTGTCGCATGGGCATCTCTACCAATGACAATGTGCAGTGGTGTTAGATCTAGAATGACCTCCATTGCTGCTGTTGGACAGGTTTTCATGGCTCCTGTGATACAAACGCATGCTAGTCTCTGGACTTTGCACAAGTTTAGCCTTGCCGTCCGTTGCTCTAGTTTTGTGAACCAGGCAACTGCTCCATAAGTAATCATGGGTCTTACTATCATGGTATACATCCAGCGCAAAGTGTTAGGGGAGCAGCCCCATCTATTTCCGGCCAGTCTTCTGCATATCATGAGAGCCTTTATGGCTTTGCTGGTAGTGTTCTTAATATGCCTGTTCCACAGGAGTTTACTGTCCAGGGTTATTCCCAGATATTTAACTTCCTGTGTTGGCAGTATTACCTTTCCATCTAGTTGAATTCTTTTCAAGTTTTTCAGACTTCGCTTTCTGGTGAATGGCACTATCGCGGTTTTGTCTGAGTTGATACTCAGCACGACAGTCCTACACCATCTCTCAGTGATACGGAGTCGTCTTTGGATAATATTACACAGGGTGCCTTTTCCCCCGAGCGATGATGACTATGTCATCTGCATACCCAATGCAGTGTATTCCCGCTAGAGTTAATTCGTCTAGTAGTTCATCCACTACCAAGCTCCACAGCAAAGGGGAGGTTACTCCACCTTGTGGAGTTCCTTGCGTTGTTTTAACAGCTACAGTTTTGGTGCCCATCTGAGCCTCTGCTGTTCGTGTTGACAGCATTTCCCAAAACCAGCGAATAATAGTTCTGTTCACCCCTCTTGTTTCTAGAGATCGCCTGACCACCTTATGTGGTATATTGTCAAACGCCCCCGCAATATCCAAGAAGGCACAAATTGCTGTTTCTTTGCTATCCAGACTTGTCTGTATTAGCTCCGTTAATTGGTACAGAGCAGTTTCTGTGGATCTGCCCGTTCTATATGCATGCTGACTATCATGCAGTGGTTTAACCTTTAGATGATTTTCTCCAATATGGTTGTCAACTACTTTCTCCAGCGTTTTTAGTATGAACGATGTGAGACAAATAGGCCTAAATGACTTGGGATTTGTCCAGTCAGTTTTGCCTATTTTGGGTATGAAGATTACTTTTGCTCTTCTCCATGTGGTTGGTATATATCCCATCGCTAGACTGCTTCTTGTAATGCTTAGTAGATGGTGAGTAGCTATTTGCTGACCTTCCTTTAGAAGGGCAGGAAAGATCCCATCCACTCCTGCTGCTTTTAAGGTGTCGATCGCCCATTTCAGTTTTTGTTCTGTTATTATTAGCTTGGCCACTTCCCAATCTTCCCTGCAAGGATTGTGGGGTTCAGTGGGAGCTACATGAGTATCAATAGGTATGCTACCTGGAAAGTGTGTATAAAGTAGGAGATTTGCTCTCTCTTCCTCTCCCTCCGTGTAGCTTCCGTCAGATTTCTTAAGTGCCATGTTGGGGATAGATCCACTCTTGGCCATAGCTTTGTGTAATCTAGCTGCATCAGGAGTAGAAGTGATGTTTTCGCAAAAGGATCTAAAGTCAGACTGCTTTGCCCTTCTTATCTCCTTCTTATACTCAGTTAATTTCTCGCTGTAGAGCTGCCATTCGCCACTGGATTTAGCTCTATTAAAAAGTCGTCGGACCTCCGATCTAAGTTTGGCCAACTTTTTGTTCCACCAGGGCTTGTTGTTACTTTTCTGTATGCCTTTACTTGCGGGGCAACTAGATTCATATGCATCCAATATTGCACCGCTGACTTCCCTTGCGTACCATTCTAGATGCAGATGGTTTCTGGCCCTACTTGCATCTATACGGTTTAGGTTGTCTACGAGATTGGAGTTATATATGTCCCAGTCTGTTTTTCTTGGATTCCTACGAGTTTCTGTTTGGGGTGTGATTCCTCCTAATTTGAACTCGATGATTCTGTGATCTGATAGGGAGGGTTCCGTTGAGACCCTCCATTGTTTCACGTAACTGATTACACCAGCACTCCCGATTGTTAAATCTAACACTTCTACGTACAATCACACCATAAACTATTTAATTCGCATTTGTCATCAAGAAACAATTACTGTTTACATCAAATCAAAGGTTGAACTGGTGATATTTGTTGCTGGAAATTCTATCTTTTTTGTACAACAGTTATAGGGAAGATTTATTTTAGCAGCTTATATTCTTCTTCGGTCGTGTATGCATTAAAAAGAACCATATAATGAAATAATTTTATAATAACAACTTAGAAAAAGAATATCTAAAACCGGCATCTGATATAACCTAACTTCTAACTTACTTTTCAAACTCAAATTTAAGGTTTTGTATTCACAATTTTAGCCACGCACGTTGTTCAATTAGAAAAAACACGTTTCTAAAACCTAAATTTGGTAAAAATATGCCCAAATATTAACTGAACTCTATAATTTGTAACAAAATAGTAATTCTTGCTATAAGAAGCTGTGTATTTCTCAATCTGTCGGATCACATGCGCCCCTAACGGCGATTTTCGAACTTCATTTAGATCTCAAAAACTGGGCCCATAATTTTTGCGTTCGATTCGCCTCCTCCTTCTAGCCTCCATAGCTCCTTCCTAGTCTTCTTATTCAAAGCTACCTTCGGAAGTCTGCCACACCTTCGAGGCCTTGTCATGATAGTGTGTATTATTAGTTGCCTATGGTAAACTTATAAAAATAACAGCTGAGAAATTTTGAGTTAATTATTTTGTCAATTTTAAATGTGAAAAAGGTGTCTTTAAAGTTTTTAGAGCTATAGAGTGTATAAATACGTTCATTTTGTATTGTGGATTGTGACAAAGTGCATACTAAGTGCCCACGATTTTGTTTATTAATTATTTTAAAGCAAAATATGGAAGTACTCTAAAAAGAATGCTTGCAAAAGGTGATGCTGGGAACTGCTGTTCTTAAAAATGCATTATCCGAGTATTTAATACGATTTATACAGTTAATTTTCTATACTGCATACCTATAAGGTGTTTAAATAAATAAACTAAATAATGAACGTTTTGCATTCGGTAACCAATAATGCACGTGTGTGTATTATTGGTTGCCGGATAAGGACTAATAACCTTAGATCTTTGAATAAGAAGATTAAAGGAAGGAGCATAATGCTATCCATGTATTATGGAGGGCTTAAAAAAGGAGATTTATCGGCAATGGGCAAATTTGAAATTTCTGTCCCCACTTTTAAGCAGCTTCCTCGGTTTGACAGCAGAGGCACTGCGATCGACTGGGATACTACATTTTCATTGTTAGTATACGATTTAATTGTGTTTTTAATAAAATTTATAGTTAATTTACTGAATTTTTAGCAGTACAACAATGAGTCGTGGTAGAAATTGCTTTGTACCTGGCTGTACAAGTGGGAATCCCAATAAAAACAAGGCAAATAAAGAACGGGGTGAAAGAAACCCAAGCCTTTTCAAAGCTCCTAATGTAAGTAGTATGACTATTTATTTATAAAAATTATGGATAGATGTTAAGAAAAACATTAAAATTATATACTGTCAGTGTACAGATTAAATTATAAACCAAATTAATAGGAAATATAGCCTAAAATCAACATGTGTATAACATAACCTAGGAGGCCTTGTTATAAAATTAAAATAATTTAATACTTACTAGGTGCTAAAATTACCTGTTGACATGTACCTATATTAACCACAGTTTGAACAGTGCTATTGAAAGTGAATATTAAATATTTATACTTCAAGATCGTATTCTCAAAATAACAGCTTTAATAGTGAAAAATGTTTTTTTTTTATTTTATTTAACAATTATATATCTTTTATTAGGATCCTAGCTTGCTACAGCAGTGGCAAAAGGCGATACCCAGATCAGACAAGACACTTAGCAGCAAAGATGCTGTTTGTGAACTACATTTATCGCTTGAGGGGGCGAAATTTTCTGTAAAAGCTTTTTAAAATCTGTCCTAGGAATCTACTAAGAACGTCGATTTTTGAAAATTTATCTCTTAAAAGGGTTATATTAGGGGTGAAAATTTGTACAATTTTTTAAAATCGGTTCTAGATGTAGTAATTTCATAAAGTAAAATTATGATACTACTGACATATTTGCATATGTCAGATTGTAAATTATTATAAAAATTATTTAGATTTTTGACTAGCCGTCGCAAGACGCTTTTTCATTGAGGAATAATAAGAAATAATTTGAAAATTATTGTATTGTGGTTGATACTTTTGATTGTGTATATAAACCATTTAGAATAGTTTTTATGAATATGAATAAGCTCTTTAAATTAATATGTAGGTATATTGTAGCTAGGTATTTTTTTAGAATGCATTTTTTTTAAATTGTAATTTTTTGTGTTCTTGATATAATATGATGTTCCTGTTTTATTTTTTGGCATAGTACATATAGATATTTAATATCTAAGTGCTAAATTGTATATTAAATTTATATATTGTATATTTTATTTATTAAATTTAGTGGAATTAGTTAATAGAAACAAAAGTTGTAATGTATTAATATTGCTAAATAAATATTTATATGATGAAATAAGTCAGCGTATATACATATTCACAACTCTGTATTTTTGTGCTTTTGAAATAAACTGAGTACATTATTTATTCATTAATATTTTATTTACAAACCTACCTTATATTAATAAAGTGAATATCAATAGAAAAACCTTTACAATTATTAGGTGACATTGAATATAATATATCTTGAATTTAATTGTCTACGAAACAGTGACAATTTGCAAAACTTTGCTAATGACATTAAAACTTACAATTCAACGCTAGAAAAAACGCTATTGAACACAGGAAACGTTTCAGCTCAATATACCTACTCTCTAGTTTCAGCTATAAAAAGTTATGGAATAGATAACACCGATCAAAGGGTGCAATGGTAACGTTCGTCTTCAGTTTCCATTTATGATTAAGTTATTCCTGATAAAATACTCTTAATTTTCGTTATTCAATCTGTCAATCGCCATAAAACCACTACTAGTTCGAAAGATTTTAATGTTTATTAAAATGGTATCACACTAAACTGCATGTAAACATGTCAATTTCAAATGTTTTAATGAAAAACTATGAACCTTTAAACTGCATCAACAAAACTATTAATAAAACACTAACACAATCACACCATAAACTATTTCATTCGCATTTCTCATCAAGAAACAATTACTGTTTACATCAAATCAAAGGTTGAACTGGTGATAAATTTGTTGCTGGAACTTCTATCTTTTTTGTACAACAGTTCTAGGGAAGATTTATTTTAGCAGCTTATATGTTTCTTCGGTCGTGTATGCACTAAAAAGAACCACATAATAAAACATTTTTATAATATCAACTTAGGAAAAGGATATATTAAACCGGCATCTAATATAACCTAACTAACTTTTCAAACTCAAATTTAAGGTTTTGTATTCACAATTTTAGCCACGCACATTGCTCAATTAGAAAAACCACGTTTCTAAAAGCTAACTCTGGTAAAAATATGCCCAAATATTAACTTGGCTCTATAATTTATAACAAAATAGTTATTCTTGCCATAAGAAGCTGTGTATTTCTAGTATCCCAATCATCACAAGCGCCCCTAACGGCGATTTTCGAACTTCATTTAGATCTCAAAAAACTGGGCCCATAATTTTTGCGTTCGATCTGCCTTTAAAGGAAGGAGCATAATGACTCCATACCATGTATTCATGCATGGTGGGCGGAAAAAGCCACCATAAAAAGCTCTAGGGTGGGGATCCTTGACAGTTCTGTTTGACGATTCATTTGACACATTTGAATTTAATTTGAAATTTTGTGGATTTGTCAGTCTTTACGGAACTTATTTTATGTTATTTATTATTTATTCTACTACTGATAGTTGTATAAAGGTAGTAAATCTAGATGGAAATTGTGGCAGAACTTAAATTAACAGTGACACTATCGCGATTTATCGAAAAAGACTCTAAAATAGTTGGTTGTGCAAAAATTGAGTGTAATAATGGAACAACTTTTCGCTATTAAGTGACTATATAATATACATACGTGTAGTAAACCGATCATTTATGAAATTCGATCACTTAAATTAACTAAATTATATATTTTTCTTGCATTTTAGCTTTTATTTATTACTTGTCAAAGATTAGATGTCAAAGAATGTAGATACGTTAATTTGACTTACCTGCTTCAGTAGCGTATCGGATGTTGCTGATAATAAATACTTATTATAACTTATCTATTTTTATTAGAATTATATATTTTTATAACAATTTTAATAACTACCAACATTTATTCACAACGTAAAATAAAACAACAAATTATTGAGTCTACCCCGCGTCTACCCTACAACATAGTTTTACATTTTTTAAATAAAATTAGAACGACACTGATAAACCGGAATTTAAGTCGGCCATATTTGAGGCCCATCGCGGTGTATCTAAGATTTTTGATATGCTCCTTCCTTAATTTAAAGCCTTAGATTAAGCTAATAACCATGACAAGGGCTACAATGACGTCACAAAGCGAGTAGTTTTCGCATGCACCTGGCGGACACTTTTGGCTGAATGAGCAGTCCTATTAGGTTAAGTGTATGGAGGCTAGAAGGAGGAGGCGAATCGACAATGGGCATATTTGAAATTTCTGTCCCTACTTTAAAGCAAGTTTCTCGGTTTGACACCAGAGGCACTGTAAGCGGGTTAGATTGATCATTTGCATTGTTAGAATACGATTTAACTGTGTTTTTACTAGTTTTTTTTTAAATTTATAGTTATTTTATTGAACTATTAGCAATGTAACAATGAGTGTGATTAAAAAAACGCTATATAATAGATCTTGCTTCGTATCTGGCAGTATAAGTGGGACTTACAGTGGAAAAAAGGCAAATAAAGAACGGGGTGAAAGAAACCCAAGCCTTTTCAAAGGTCCTAATGTAAGTGGTATAACTATTTATTTAAAAAAATATGGATAGATCTTAAGAAAAACATTCAAATTATATACTATCAGTGTACAGATTAATTTTAAATTCAAATTAATAGAGAATATAGCCTAAAATCAACATCTGCGTAACATAACCTAGGAGGCCTTGTTATAAAATAAAAATAATTTACCTACTAGCTGGTGGCTAAAATTACCTGTTGATATGTATTAACCACCATTTGAACAGTGCTATTGAAAGTGAATTTACGCCAAAGCAATATAGTATTCTAATATAAGATAATTTACATACCCGAGATGCTTCATTTAAATTGAAAAATAATCTACAGTGGTTGAAGGACTTTTGATTGTTATATAAATCATTTAGACTAGTTTTTATGAATAAGCTCTTTAAATTAATATGTAGGTATATTGTAGCCAGGTATTTATTTAGAATGCATATTTTTAAATTATAATTCTTTGTGTTCTTGATATAACTTGCTCCTGTTATATTTTTTTGGTATAGGTGCTAAATTGTATATTAAATTTATATACTGTATATTTTATTTATTAAATTTAGTGGAATTAGTCAGTTAAAAACAAAAGTTGTAAAGTATTAATATTGCTAAATAAATAAATATATGATGAAATAAGTCAGGGTATATACATATTTACAACTCTTTTAAAATAAATTGAGTTCATTATTTATTCATTAATATTTTATTTACAAAAATTTACCTTTACAATTATTAGGTGACATTGAATATAATACATCTTGAATTTAATTGTCTACGAAACAGTGACAATTTGCAAAATTTTGCTAATGACATTAAAACTTAAATTCAGAAAATCTAAAGAAAAAACACTATTGGACACGGGAAACATTTCAGCTTAATGTACCTATTTTCTGGTTTCAGCTATAAAAAGCTATGAGATAGATAACACTGATCAAAGGGTGCAACAGTAGTGTTCATCTTCACTTTCCATTGAAGTTATTCCTGATAAAATACTTTTAATTTTCGTGATTCAGTTTCTGTTACGAAAGTTTTTAATGTTTATTAAAATGATATCACACTGAACTGCTTGTAAACATATCAATTTCAAATGTTTTTATGAAAAACTATTAATAAATCACTAACACAATCACACCATAAACTATTTAATTCGCATTTGTCATCAAGAAACAATTAGATAATCAAATCAAAGATTGAACTGGTGATATTTGTTGCTGAAAATTCTATCTTTTTTGTACAACAGTTATAGGGAAGATTTATTTTAGCAGCTTATATTTTTCTTCGGTCGTGTATGCACTAAAAAGAACCATATAATGAAACAATTTTATAATAACTTAGAAAAAGAATATCTAAAACCGGCATCTGATATAACCTAACTTCTAACTTACTTTTCGAACTCAAATTTCAGGTTTTGTATTCACAATTTTAGCCACGCACATTGTTCAATTAGAAAAAACACGTTTCTAAAAGCTAAATCTGGTAAAAATATGCCCAAATATTAACTGAACTCTATAATTTATAACAAAATAGTAATTCTTGCCATAAGAAGCTGTGTATTTCTCAATCTGTCGGATCACATGCGCCCCTAACGGCGATTTTTGAACTTCATTTAGATCTCAAAAACTGGGCCCATAATTTTTGCGTTCGATTCGCCTCCTCCTTCTAGCCTCCATAGTTAAGTGTTCTTGACTTCTACCCACCTCGTTAGGAGGGTTAGTAGGATCACAACCACAAAATATACTAACGGATCACAACATATGGCAAAAATCGAGTTATTCGGATCACTTTCCGAACGCATTGACTCGTTTTGAGATCACTTTTCGAACGTCTGGATCAATCGTCTGGATTAGTAATCCTATCAATCCTTTTAATCCCCTTATGGGGTTTTTCGGAAACTGTGATCTGATTGATCGGATTGATAGGATTACTAATCCAGACGTTCGAAAAGTGATTTCACAACGAGTCAATGCGTTCGGAAAGTGATCCGAATAAAGCCGGAGTCTCATGCATCCGAAATCCGATGGTACGACATCCGAAATTTGAAGTTATCGTGTGAAATAAAAAAAGCCTGTCACATACATCCGAAAGTTCGTTCCGAAATTTGACAGTTTTAACATCTTTCTGCTGCGCTGAATAGAGATTCATGTCATGTTTTATTAGAGAAACACTTATAAAAATAACTTCCTCGCCAAATATCCCGAAATTGCCCACTTCCCACTAAACTTGTTTTTAAAAACAAATGTTTTCAAAAACAGTGAGGTTAAAAAACACACGATATCGTACAAAAGTTAAACAAAATTTAACTTTATACGACGTCGGATGATTAGTTAAAATTATCGGATAAAAATTGTTGTCAAAATATTTCGACCAATAGGAGCACCGTCGGATCGTCGTGTCATCGGATTTCGGATGCATGAGACTCCGGCTTAAACTCGATTTTTGGTTGAATGAATCTGACCAATGACTAAAGAATACAAGGAGACGTAACGTCCATATACGAGCTGAAGCAGAAATTTGTGTTGTTAGACGCCATTTTTTGGAGACAATGGATTTGTCATCAGTGACGATTTTAGCAATTTTTAATAGTTTGTTGTGTGTAGTGAAATTGGTATAAACTTTATTACAATGGTGATTTGTTCAGCTTTCGAGTGTAACAGCCGCAACGATAAGAAAGAACCAGGAGTTACGTTTTATAGGTAAATAAACAGTGCCCTTCAACTTTTTAGAGTTGTATTATTGAATTTGATAATCATTTTTCTGAAATTATATATACAAGGTGTCCCACTAAGAATAGATCTCGGCTGTATCTCGAAAAGTATCAGCAGTAGAACCTGGGAAAAAAAATTATAACTAAAGAGGCCCTGAGAAATTGCTGGAAATTAAATTCAAGTTTGTTGAATGGCCGCTAGAGGGCGCAACTGCTATCGCAAATAAGAAAACTAAGTAAGAAAAGGCTGTACTTAAACTGCCGTTAAACGGTAGCTTACTAAAATGCCATTAATAGGTATGACGTCGTTGATGTGACGCACTTGACGGCTTTATGAAATATAGAAATTTTATAAGGACTAACCAACGCTATCCATACCTCCAAATAACCAACTTAAAAAACGCAACTAAGCTCGACACTGATAAAAAATATAAAAAACAAATATAAATTAGTAAAAATCAACCAACCACCAAATAACCAACTAACCAATGAATTAACACCCTCCAAATAACCACGCTAACCAACCCGCTAAATAACTAAACCAATCCAAATAAAAAGAGTGAATCCAATGCAATAAGATCACGCTTCCTATATAAGATTACCCTCCAAATAACCACCCTCCTAATAAGATCACCCTCCAAATAACCACGCTAACCAATCCGCCAAATAACTAAACCAATCCCAATAAAAAGAGTGAATCCAATGCAATAAGATCACGCTATAAGCAAAAAAAAATATAAAAAAGCCTCAGCGTGAGATTTGAACCCGGACCATTCGCATACGAAGCAAGTTTCAAGTTTCAAAGCATTTATTGAGAATGTCTCCTTAAATACAATAAAAAGGTGCTATATACAATATATACAATAAATAAAATAACATGATAAGATGGTATGTTGTTCTTCTGACGAAGCACTCAACCACCTAAGCGAACCCTGTGAACAGGGGGACCGGTGTTTGCCCTAGGTAGCTCTTTTATTGACCGGGCGAGGACTGCATG